TATATATATATATATATATATGAGTATGGCAACTAGTCTCAAATTTTAAGATTAAAACCAAGAATGACTTATAATGTTGGACTTGCATATTAAATACAATTACTATATTTTGTGCTTTGAATAATAAAACTCATACTTGTATTTGATTGTTTTGCAAAAAATTTTGGAAATGTATTTGGGTAAGACCCGATCATGATATTTAGTACTTTTTTTTTTAAGTTATTGCTAACTTACAATGATACTTTTGCATGCTTGGTGGGGAATCTCCAGTGGTCAAGTTATTCAATGCGGTAAGAAAGGCTCTCTGAAAAGTGTTGTAATAACAAATTTCTTCTATTTTCCTCTCTAGTTTATATATTTTTTATGATCTCTAGAACCGATAACAAATTGTTCTTTTTGTTGCTGCTGGACAGGTTAATAAGGCACAAAATCAACAAAAAGGATTGAATCCTTCCAAATCTAAAGATGCAAAAGGTACGGTAGAGTGAGATATACACGCATTTTAACCCTTTCAATAATGCTCTTTTAATATTTTTTGGTCAAGTTGAAGTAGTCTGTCTGTCTTACCATAGAAAGAAGCAATTAGGCTTTTATGATTAATACATAGATTTTTTTTGGGTTAAATTTTAATAGCATATCATCATTTAATATTAGCGAAGTGATGGTGTGATTTTTATTTGTCTTTTACTTACCTTCCGTGCCTATGCGTCAGAGTGTTCTAATCTAATCTACTTTTACTATTAAAGATAGGCATTGGCATAACATATGATACAAATTATAACACAACATGTTTTAAAAAAAGTGGGATAACCTTTTATTACAACATGAACAATAATGTGTGTGTGTGTGTATATACATTCATGCATACATGATACATATAAAAGAATAAGATGGAATGAATGAAGAATAGACCACTTTTTGATTGGAATCTTTTCTGAAATCAGGGGTTTTTCACTCCAATTAGCCTTATTCTTTCCAAGGATTCAGGTTCTTGTATCTACACTTCACGTCCAACCTTCTTCCTTCAACCAACTCAGTTTTCTTCCCATTAAGGTTATGAACAACAACCACGCGTAAAACATGCTGCAAATCGTTTGAGCCACCATTGGATTAAAGGCAGCAACAAAAGTGGATAATGAAGACTGTGTCAATAGCAAGACAAGAGGTTGTCAGCAATAGAAGCAAAAATCACGTAATAGGATAGAAGATCTGCTTGACCGTTTTACCAAGAACAACTCAGGAAATTGTCAGCAATAGAAGCAACAATCATGGAAAACATGGGAAGAAGAGAGGGAGAAGGAATAAAAAACAGAGTGGAAAAGCTAATGAAATAGATTCAAAATATGTATTAATGAACATGACATGCTGCAGTATTTTTAGAGTTCATACTAAATGCTACACAAAAGTTATACTATGTGAAAGCAAGAAAAAACGCTTACCTACAATTTGAAAAATCAAATTCTATTGTTTGGTTACAAAGACAAACAACAAGAAAGCTCTAATAAATAGGCATAAAACCATACTAACAATCTCCAGCTTGAATTTATAGTAAACTTACTCACCATGGAACCACATTCAGCATCTCCAAACAATAGTAAAATTTGCTTGCAAACAACGTCTTTGTTAGCATCTATGCAGGATTATGATTCATTACAATTTTCATTTATTAAGAGGATTAATGGAGAAATATAGAGAAAATAAGGAGGATCTACATATGATATTTATTGATTTAGAAAAAGCATATGATAAATTTCCAAGAGAAGTGCTATGGAGAGTTCTTGAAAAGAAAGGAATTAATAACGCTTATATTCAAATCATTAAAGATATATATGTAGGAGCTATTACTTGTGTTCAAACACAAGGTGGTTTGACCAAGTATTTCCCTATTTATGTTGGGTTACATCAAGGATCAGCCTTAAGCCCATATCTTTTTGCTTTAGTGATGGATGACATTTGCAAGAGGATGTACCTTGGTGTATGCTTTTTGCTGATGATATTCTTCTTGTTGATAAGACTAGTGAGGGAGTTGAAGGTAAACTTGAATTATGGAGGTCAACCTTAGAGTCTAAAGGTTTTTGCTTGAGTATATCTAAAATGGAATATATGAAGTGTAATTTTAGTAGTAATAGACCTAGTGATGGGATTTGACTTTGGGCGATCAAGTCATTAATAAGAGTACATGTTTTAAATGTCTTGGATCTATTGTTCAGAGTGATGGTGAAATAGATGGGGATATTATCAGCAGAATTTAAGTTGGATGGTTGAAGTGGAGGAATGCATCAGGCTTGTTGTGTGATAGAAAAGTATCCCTCAAACTTAAGGGAAAATTCTATAAGATCGTGGTGAGGCTTGCAATGCTTTATGGTGCCGAATGTTGGCCATTAAAAGAGAAGCATAATACTAAGTTAAGTGTGGTAGAAATGAGGATGCTCAGGTGGATGAGTGGCTTTACCCTTAGAGATAGAATACGAAATGAGCATATGCGTCATGGTTTAAAATTGCGCAATATGAGGCTCGCCTTTGCTCAATTTCAGTAAAAACGCCTCGATGCTTACGCCTCGAGTTTTTTTTACGAGGCTTGTGCCTCAACTTGGTTGAGGCCCGCCTCGCCTCACTGGCATGAGGCTTATGCCTCACGCTATATATATTAAAACTTACATAAATCTTGAAGTAAATGCCCGACATTGGACTCTATAGGAGAGGAGGAAGGGGAGAGAGCAGTTCATCATAATGATGATTCAAATGAATAACCCCTTAGTAATGACAATGCTGATGACTTATGAGTTCTTATGTGATATGCCATTGCTATTTATTTTTGGAAATCGGAATTATATGTTAATGAAAAGAATACTTGGATTTCGGAAAGATAGAATTTTGAGTTGAACTATATTTCATGCTGTCTTATTATTGAGATATTTTGATTTCACTTCATATCTTGTATTTTTTATATTTTATATTATTCACTCATTATTATATAAAAAAATTATCATTTTATGTTTACGCAATCTTTTGATTTGAGGCTTACGCCTCAAAACGCCTTGAGGCTTACGCCTCGCCTCACAAATGAAAATGCCTCAATACCCGAATATGCAATTTTAAACATTGATAGTAACCATAATGGCTACTATTATCTTTCATCAAATCCTCTCTGGTCTTTCTTAACTCTTCATTCTACATTCTTTTTTCCTTGATGACCTCCAGTCTACCATCAGTGGTACTGAAACAACCAACTCCTGGAGTTCCCCAATACATCTAGATAAGGCATCAACCACCTTATTTTCCACTTCAAATCTGTACTTGATCTCAAAATCATAGCCTAACAGTTTGGACAACCATATCTGATGCTCCTCGATCACCATCTTTACTCCAATAGGTACTTTAAGCTCCTCTGATCTGTCCGGACAATGAAATGCCTACCCAAAAGGTAATGGCGCAACTTTTGAATAGCCAAGACAATGACCATCAACTCTCTCTCATACACCGACTTCAATCTAGCCCTGATTGACAACACTTGACTAAAGTATGCTATAGGTTTGTGATTTTGCATTAGCACTGTCCCCAACCCATATCCTGACTCATCGGTCTCCCGTGGTTCTACCGTAACACTCTATTCATCATTGGAAAGTAGCAGGGGTATTAGTGAGCCCCAAATGTCATCACCAAGAACTCATAGATCCCCTTGTGCGTCCTAAAGGCTGTCTTCTAAATATCCTCCTCATTCATCTTGATTTGATGGTAGCCCGACTTCAAGTTCATCTTAGAAAATACTACTTCTCCATACAACTCATCTAGTAGTTCATCAATCACCGGGACGAGGAATTTATCCAACATAATTTCATTCAACCCCCTGTAATCCACACAACCTTCAGCTCCTATTCTTCTTTTTGACCAGTGAGACTGTACTTGAGAAAGGATTCACACTTGGTCTGATGATCCCCACTTCCAACATCTCCCTAATCAGCTTCTCAATTTCATCCTTCTGAATTTGGGGTTAGCAGTAGGGCCATATATTAATCAGTGACACCCCCTCCTACTCTCTGGGTGGTGGTGAACCTTGAGGTGGCTGGAACACCTCACAGAACTGCTATATGAGTGGTTGCAGTGCAAGAGGAATGTCTTCCTCTTCTACCACACTGACCCTCTCCAAGCACTGCAATTCCACAAAATATCCACCTTCCACCTGTATGGTTCTGATCATGAATTTGAGAGATACTCTAGCCCTGGACAGCCCTGCATCGCCCTGGATCACCATTCTCCTTCCCCCCATCACCAGTTCCATCCTCAGTGCTTCCCAATTGACCTTGGTCTCCCCCAAGTCTGCAATCATTTCATCCCCAAGATGAAATTAGTACTCCCCAACTCTAAGGGAAGAAAGTCCTTCCTAACTTGGATCTACTGAATGGTCAACACCACTCCCCTACAAACTCCTCTACCCATTTCTACCTTTCTCGTACCCATCATCATCCCATAGCCTCATGTATCTACTAATTTTACCCGCACCAGATCAACAATCTTGGTGGAGATGAAATTGTGGGTTGTCCTACTATCTATCAGCACCACCACCTCTCTATCGTCTATCGCTCCCTTTGCTTTCATAGTGTGATTCAGAGTGAACCCCACCATTGAGTTTAGAGAGACTTCTGCCACATCCAGATGCTAATTCTCCTCTTCCTCCATCTCTAACCCGCTCCTACCTCCATCTTCAGCCTCCTCGTCCTCACAGACGGTGAGAACCGAAAGAGTTTGGTCCTTACACCTATGCTCTGGAATATACTTCTCATCACATCTAAAATACAACCCCTTTGCCCTCTCCTCTTGTATCTTCTTCTCAGTCAGCCTTTGAAAATTTCCTCCATTTCCCCCTCCAGTTCTCTTTTTGGGCACTTCCTTCAGACTCCCCGGTGCTGGCCCGTTGAGAGCTAAGAAGGTGATGGTCATCATGTACGTCTCCCCAAGTTGCTCCCCCTAGCCCCTTTCTCTAGCTGCTTATGATCCTCCACCAATTGGGTTAGCTCCATGGCCTCCACCAGGTCTCTTGGCCTCATCACCCTAACCACTACCCGTATCTCTGATTTAAGCCCTTTCATAAAGTTCCTCTCCAACACTGTCTTAGAGAGCCGGTCTAATCTGCTGGCCAAGTAACCGAACTTGTCACGGTAATCTGCTACGATCCCCTCCTGTGTCAAGGCAAAGAATTGCTTATAGAAGTCTCCTCCCCTTTGTTGATTCCTATAGGTTGTTAAACTTAAGCTATTGTCCCAAGGTTAACGAAGAGGGGAGGTGAATTTGTTATTTAAAAATTCTTTTAGATTTTTTAATAGAAAATCATTATAAAATTTTACAGCAATTTAATTTTAATATTAAACTAAGCTTTTTAACCACAGTAAACAAAATGTAGTAAATAAATACGGAAAATAAAAAGAAATATTTATAGTGTTTCAGTCAAACACGACCTACATCCACTCCCTGAAGAC